TGTTAATATCGTAATTGGTATGGACTGGTACATAATTTTGAACAGGTGAATGAATCGAAAAGCAAGATTTGAAATGTACCGCAAAGGCATCGGCAATAGTTTTAGGGGTGTCAAAGTTCATAAATAATAAACAATGTATCTACACCTGTCACATATAATGATAATCATCTTCGTCAGTTTCAGACTCGTTGCAATATTAACAGATTCCCATTGTTTATATTAATAAAGAGTTTCATTGAATTAGACAATCCTCAAATGAAGTACTGCACTGGAACCAAAGTAAAGAGCTGTTTTTGGTCTGATTAAATCAATAAAATAAGAGACAAGGAATAGTTTTTCTGTACATAAAATCACTGTGAGATTATGAATATATTATTCAAAACCCTCAATTCAAGGTAGTTGGAAACCCCACATTAGCACACATTCGATTTTGATTTTTTTCCATCAAGTCTATGTAAATTTCATTATTGTTCAAGTTTTACCACAGTCATTCGATAAAGTAGGTAGGTTCATAAAACGCACAAATACATACAGGTTGCATTTTTTCACAAAAATACTAAAACAGAATATTCCGTTCTCGATGTTGGCCAATGACCCAACTTTTTTATAGTATAGTCATGAATTATTTTCATTTCAACAAGTATACCTTGTTCACTATTGTTATTTCCTTAACGGAACTTGGTCTGTTGCAAAGTGTCCATAAATAAATAAATTCTCAACTACACTTACCATATAATCAGGTCCTAAACAAGTAATATATTCTATCTTTTATAACGATCCCTGTTGATCCTCTCCATATCTATCCATTCGGGATCATTGGGATCTTCTTCTCCTTCTCCAATAGCGGACTCTGTAGACTCGCTATCGGGAGAATCGACTTTTCGATCCATGTAGCCAGCTGCTCCCTCATATTCTGCCGAATCCTGCGAATGAGCATTAGTTTGGAACTGATGATTCTCGGGCATATGCTCAAGCATCTTTTCATATGTTTCATCACCGATAGGGAACTCCCTTCTATCGTAGGGTGCCACCTGAAACAACATTCACCTAATTGAAATATCATGAATGGAACATTAAGCAAGGCAGTAGTGTTTTAAGAACTATTAAAAGTATTCAACTATATACGTCATGAAGTTTTGCTTCACAAACTCCACTTTTATAGATTGAGAGATGCATTGTTGTTCAGAGAATGTATATTATAAGGTGAAAAAACATGCTATTTCCCAAGGTTCCATCAACTACCTCAAATGTCAAAACGTGAGCAAGCTAAGGATTGGAGAGGTCTAACCTTTATTATTATTAATGTATCTTTATCAGACACATCGATTTGTTTAAAACCACAATAATAAATTCATTCCGCCTGCTTTGAGTCATCCCGCTGGCAGACATGAGGATATGAGCTTAGTTACACAAAAATATTATTTTACAGTTGGAATTAGCCACATAACGATGATAATAAAAATAATAATAATTTTATTATCCTGTAAGACAATATAATATCTGAAAAGAGCGTATATTTTGCAAGTTACCACAAACTGTCAAATTTTCCCAAACGGAAACCAACCTTATTATTTTGCTATGAAGTTCAAAATTGATTACAGAAATTTGACAGATTTGTATAGCTTGACGTGCTGGCGACTGTAGATTGTACCAAAGCCAAAAAGGTCGTATAAATACAATTTAAATAGTACGGTTGGCAATGCTTGTACGAGCGAGTTGACCAAATTCGAATACGAGACTCGAGTCATTTGCACTCGCATAAATAGAATCGAGTTAGCGAGTTTGAATCGATTCTTCTTGACTCGAGTACCGGAATCGAGTCCGGCGTACTCGAATCAAAATAAATTGGTATTCGAGTAGGCAAGTTCTAAAGCAGGAATCGAGTCTGGCTAGAGTAAAAACGTACTCGCCACATCGCTAATTATTACCATACCGAAGACAAGATTCGACCCGAGCAATTTCCAGCATAATCAGCTATTTCTAGAATATAACGAAGGTTTCTAAGAAGATTATTCATGGAATTCAGTTTTGACAATTGTTCCACAATTAGTTTTCCAGCTGAGAAATTCATCCAAGTATACACCTGAAAACTTCACGGAGAAATTTCATCTTCAATTTTCAAGTTGAAACTGGCTATTTCTTTTTGTCTAGCATGAAATCTCAATAATTGTGTTTTTGATTATTTAAATTTAGGGAATGTTTCTCAAACCAAATACAGCATTAAGTTACCTTTGGTTTGTAGATTTTGATCTATTTTATCTGATATAACCAGTGATGTATCATTGCATATAGTGTGAAATGATCATATGCAGAGATGGATTCCATATTATTAACATAAATGAAAAAAATGTATAGGGTCTAGTGCTGAGCCCTGTGGTACACCAAGAATAATTTCCACATAATCGTATGCATATAACTTTTTGGTATTATAATTTCATTAGTGATACTGACATATTGTTTTCAGCCAGTTCAGCGCATTTCCTTGTGTGCCAATATTATGGAGTTTTACATAAAGATTTTCTTATGTATATACAGCAAGCGCCAAACGTGATTACCAGCCTGCGTTGTCTGAATAATTTGTGAGTAAGGCACGTGAAATAATTTTTAAAGTGTTCTATTATTTTCAAAGTGTTAAATGTGAGTCGGATACGTTATCAAATATGAAAAATAAAACATATCTCGCTACAGGTAACATTAAATAAATTTAAAAAATAACTATTTCAACACAAATCTTTTTTTTTTATTAGGTATTTCAATAAGAACCATTGAAAGAGTGGTTGCCGATATGTAGTAGATATAGAGCGGAAATATTGGGAAAATGAAACATTCACAGATGTTCAAACAGAGGTAAATCCAGTGATTAAGAATTTAAATGACGATAGCAGCACAAGCAGCAGTGAAGATAAATGAACTGTACTACTACCTGTAATACTAAATAAAATATGAAAAGAAATTACAAAGAAGTCATGTTCCATTTGCTACCCTAATTAAAACTAATTATAGGTACAACCCTGACCGGCAATGGGGCTTATCGTAATCCAATAGTAATTTAGTTGGTAGAGTCTATACCTACGCAATCGCTCGCCTTCAGCTGTTGTGTGTATACTGTATATCAGATTTCTGAATAAAATGCATTCATCCATTATTTACTGCCAAAGTAAATCCGAGATCAGTCTATCCAAGTACCAAGTTATTGGTGAACTTTATATCATAAAAGTAAATGATTTTATCCTTATTTAAAAATCAAACGACTCATTTGGTGCCATAATTCCATTTCAGTAAGAGTTATGTACTTTTAGAACACTCCACATACTGTGATTTTTGTATCGTCTGCAAGCATGATGACTTTTCCAGTGGTCAAATGGTCTGGAATTCATGAATAGACAACCATTCCAATGAAAAAATCTCTTATTGGGGTGAGTATGGAACCAAATAAAATTCTAATTGCACAATTTTGAATTTTTTTACAGTTAGAAATCCTATTTCAATTGACCAAGTATAATACTAATAATTAAAAACAATATTATCAACATGTTTCTTCTGAAAATAATAATGAAAGTAAATAAATATATGCCTACTTTGGAGTTAATATTTCTTTGTACGGTAGCTTCTCAACTCTGGTTGACGCAGCGACGCTATAAGGTATGACGATGTTATCAATATCATATGACAGCGCCCGATTATTCTTTTTGTACCCGCTAATCGAGTGCATGTGAAGCAAGGGCGAAGAACTTGGCGACTCGAAGGAATGAGGACCAGCATTGCTACTGGTCCCGATAGAATCTATCTCTTCGTCTGCACAGTCTGCTGCAGGGGAGTTTGAAAAGGTTTCAGTCTCTTTGGCAATGTTATGTCTTTTCCGATGTATCTTATTCAGAGGATGTCTGCCAGGCTTCCTTCCTCTGATCTTATTTCTAATTTCTGAAAAATGAAAAGGTGAATTAGGAACATGATAAACCTTTCAGTATAGATCTTTGTAAAAATGTTTTCAATTATAGAACCAAAAACAAAATTAGTGGACATATTACCTAATGAATAATAGTTTTCAATGACACCCTACTTGTTGTTTCACTTCAAATAATAATTTGAGAATGTCATCAAGAGCCATAGTCTTATAATTTTGGAATTAATGCAACATTGGTGAAAAATTTATTTTTTGCCAGTAAAAATATAAAAATGAATCTATGTGAATTACATGTTTTGTTATTTTTATGCCAAAAATTCGGTATTATTTCAATATTGTGTGGGGACATTGGATCAGGAGTGTTGGCCCCACTTGATTCTGCTCGGCTGTCCGTTCTCTTGTGGACACGGGTGCGGCCGTAGCCTGTGGGCATTTTTAAGTAGCTGAGAAAACGCTTCTTCTCCTCGTATTCGCATCTATCATGTCGATTGATCACAGATTCTTCGGACAGATCCTCAATCTGAAAAAAAAACAAATGTTGCAAAATTTTATATAAACGAAGTATTTTTGCAAAACTGTAAAAATTTGTTGATGCTTTTTCTTTTTCAATTCTAATGTTATTTTGTAAATGTGACTTCATCATAATAACTGAATTTGCATTTTTATTTTGTTGTTTTCATGTCTTATATTTCTAAGTGTCTTTTGTATTTTTACTTTGTAGACTTTGAAAATAAGAAAATTTAAAGACACAGTATATTTTGATTGATTTTTGAACTACTATTAAAATGGGTGGTGTTAATACCAAAGTATTTATCCACTGACTCATTCTAAATACAAATTTTTAGTTACAGGGAACGCATAAAGATAACCTCCCTAGTATATCCAATATTTTTGGGAATATTGACCCAACATATCAGTTAACGGTGACAGTATAAGCAACTACTAGAGCGATTAATGTCTTGAAGTGGCGAATTAAATAAGTGACATATTGTGAGACTATTTGTGTGGTAGAAATTATGAAGTTCTGAACAATAAAATTTGAAATATACAACAACTGTAATGAAATAAAAAATAATACTTTGCACAAAATTTTTTCTTTCAAACTCGCAGCATAGAGAAAAAACCAGCTGCAAAATATTTGGGAATTTGATGATTATATAAAATACCTGAACAAAAAACTTGCAACAATCAAGCTCTTATGCCATCACCAACAAACTAGGTACAACTACTGTATTGCAAACTGTATTTACTCATAATAAATAACTAACTGTATATTGCATTTTTTTGGAGACAGTAAGCCTTATTTGCAAAAGAAGAGAGCTCTATAGAATTCAAATTTGAACGTGAAATTCACAACAAACAGTACACAGAATAAACCATGGCCCATCATAAATACCGTCCCATAATTGCACACAAAATTCGTACGGTTTAGAACCCTTCGTTGCATTCTATTACTTTATACACCATTCACCCACCCGTTATGTCTCAATCTATATAGAATAGAATTTATTCATCATTTAAAATTTTACAATTGCATTGCATGACATAACACTTATAAAATTTTATCAGACTAGTCAAATGTGAGCACTAGGCTATATATAAAATATAAATAGATACATACATGTACATTACAAAAATAAAATAAAAGCATCTTTTTGACTTATATATTAGATTAAAAATTCTTGCAAATAAAATGCCTGACTTTTAAAATATTTTCATTCACTCACCAATCAAATTGAAAAGTATAGTAACCCTCAAGGCCTTTTGTAATCGTGCAACATAACTATTGCTCTCAAAAGTTCATTACAGCCTGGCAGAATATTTTGAAAATATGTTTTGAGACCAGCTTCTGAATCAGGTTTTTTATTTTTGAACTTTTCACTTGTCCATCAAAAATCAACAGCAGTTTGTTGAAAATTACTTGATGTTCCAATTCGATTACAAGTTTTTTAAAAATTTGTAGTGGAAACCAAAACAATTTCGATTTTGTCTGACTCTAATATTGAAGTTAGAGAGTAATGATCAATACCAAGTAACCATACCAATACCAATCTCACTTGATTGTTTGCAAAGAAACAATTGTATACTCACATCACTGTCCTGATTAGGTTCTTTAACAGCTCCATTATTCTTTGTTTCAAATTCAGCAGCAGCTTCAGATTCTGCAATTCTCCACCTATTCAAGATAAAAGATTCAAAGTAATTGTCAAGTAAAAGTATTTTGCAAAAAAAAAACAGTTATATAACAGTCAAAAGATAAAATATACTACACTTTTTGTAAAATTAATAATTCCAAACAACATAGATGTTCATGGAGGTAATAAAAGAAAATAACAAATAATGCTTATTCTTCACGGATGGTATCACATGCTGAAGTGTCATCCCAGATGTATACATGCTGAAGTGTCATCCCGGATGTATATCTGCTCGTCTTCGACATTATCTCATTTCAGCAAGATCCCACTTTCCATATTCAAATGCTCTGCTTGGTGGCTGAACTTGATAATGTCAAAACTTGATAATGTCAAAGATGAACGGATATACAAATATTGTGAATATTTCGTGTTTAGCTCTTTCTGAAATTTTTGAAAGGATAGGAAGCTAAAACATTGGATTATGATTATTCATTAAAGATTTTTCCCACCTTCAAACATTGGTAAAAATTTGGCAATATTTTGAAATGATTTTCAATTCAAATGATGTATTACCCGATTTACTAATAAGTAGACAGGTATGCAACAAAATTAAAGAGAATTTTTTATTATCCAAGGTTAATGATGTCCCCTATCTCTAGAGCATTGAGCAAAAACAAAAAATAGAGAAATCTCTTCACAATACAGTCAAAAATTGATTGATGCGAAAGTATGTTCTAATAGTCGATAATTCAAACATTATGTTATTATGTGGATTCCAGTCACCAAGCAAAAGTTTTTTCTCAGTTTGACCTCAAATATATGCAGTTCATATGTCACCAGGGAGTATGTTGTTGTATTCAGATCGTTGGAGAAAACTGTAACCATTGGCTATTTTGTGATATGGTATCTAAAAGTATTATTTTTGTTAATATGGTGTTGCATTTTCAAATTTTAATTTATGAATGAAAATGAGAGCTTGATTAAAAAGGAATTCATGAATAGACAACCATTCCAATGAAAAAATCTCTTATTGGGGTGAGTATGGAACCAAATAAAATTCTAATTGCACAATTTTGAATTTTCCTATTTCAATTGACCAAGTATAATACTAATAATTAAAAACAATATTATCAACATGTTTCTTTAAAGTAAATGAAAATCAAGAGTTTGGTATAATAAATACTATTTAATTGGTAGCTATCCTAAACTATTCAACATAGATTTGAAGGGAGTGGGTCTGTTACATGACAAAATGACACGCATAGTGCGGTTTTATAGTTTCTGAAACCTGGTAATATGGTTTTGGTTCAGTAAGTACAAGGTATATTGAAAAAATAAAGGAATTTTTTTAATTTCATGGGTTTATAGATACCAACTGTCAATTTTTCAGTTGTATTCATAGTTTTATTTGTCTGTGGCAGCCATTGAGGTTAAAGGTGTTTCTAAGAGTTCAATGATTTCAACATGAAGCATACTTGACATATTTTATGAAAAAAGTTTTTAAATGCCATATATATGTTATAGTCTTCACATTATATTTGACTTTTGTTTTATTTTATGTCATTTGTATATCGTTAATCGGTTTAGTTAAGTAACTTTTTAGATAACCGATAGTTCAGGTTCACCTCTCAACTTTGTCACCGAGAATTAACTATTCTTCAGACAAAACAGTTACATTCTTACTAGTCGAAGTCTCAGGTGTCTCCCGTTCATTCAAATCGAGTGAACTAACATTCAAAACTCATATTAATATATTACATCCATATCACTAAATCTCTTAGCTTATGTATCTAGAATCAATAAAGACTTCTCTGCTAATACAATGAGAATTTTGTATTGTTAACTGATAATATTGAACTCAGAATATGCACCTATTTTGTGATCTCCTTCAGAATAAATTCTTGAGGACTGTTGCTTACAAAATGGGTTTTCAAGTGGGACATTACAACTACAATGACATCCGTTCAATCCTCCATTTGACAACTTTGGAAAATAGGCGAATCCAAACATACTTATTGTTTCTGTTCAAGTTGTTAGCAGGTCACTATTATAGTCGAAATCTTCTCGTTATTAATTTTAGAGTAAGACAAAGGGAAACTAGGAAAGATAATACTATATCTATTGTACAGACATTCAAGAAATTATGGATTCAATAGTCCAATGTCATCAATTTCAAGAGAGGCTGGGTCGGGACTGATTTTTTTTACAAACTTTATTGAGGCATTGAACAGATCCCTAATTAATTGTTTTAAAGTTAGTTCTTCCTTGCTTTGAAAGATTCCCACTTTTTTGTATAAAGATCGAGAAGTAGAAAGCCAAAACCATTCCCCAAAAAAATTACGAAAATTGAAAAGAGGAGGAACCCTTTTGTTGGACCAGTCTGTTCAATAACTGCAATATACATTACCAAATGAAATTGCAAAGATTATTATCAAGTAAAGTAAGTGTTTTAAAAAATAATAGAGAAAATTCAAACGAACTTTGAATATTTACCCCATGAAGTCATGTGACTGTCAGATTGACCTATTCTAAACTAATAATAAGAAAAATTTTTGAGAAAGAAAGTTTTTGACTTTCTACTACATATTGATACAGAAAAATGTGGGAATCTTCCAAATAAAGGAAGCAAGCAATCAATTTTGAAAGAAGTAACTCTTTACATAGATGTGCAGATCATGCAAAGAAGTTACTTTCAGACACAAACTGGAAGAAAAACCCCTCCTGAAACATAAATCTTCAATGAAAAAAAACTCACTTGCAGATAAAGCTGTGATGGTGCTTGGTTTAAGCATTCGGCCGTACTTCTTTCGATGATCTATTTTCCTTGTTCTGTGTTCTAAAGATCTAGCCTCCGCCCTTTCAGATTTCGAGAAAACCTTGAAAGATTTCATACGAGTACTTCTCTGCTGCCATTCCTGAGTTTTCATCACAGCCTCAAAGTGAATCTTCTGAGAAGTATCTGTGGAATTATAAAAGATTAATATTCAGTATTTTCTTTGTAGAAGTTTTTCATCTTCAAAAACAATTAAATGAAGACTTAGAATTATCACTTGAATCAGACACCATAAATCTACGTTTACTTTCAGATCTCATTGTAGTCATGCATGTCTGATTGGTTATTATAATATCTAGTACAATGTCTTACCTGTAACATAATGATAATGTGTAAATTTCAAATAGATATTCATTTCCGATTTTTATTTTTTAACCTTAATGATGAAACAAATTTATTTTTAAAATTACTATCTAGTTGTTCAAAACCAAAACTTCAAAAGCCATTTGCTGTCAGACGAAAAAAGTGAGTTGTTTCTTTTCATAATTTCGTGATTTTCACTTGAGAATTATAATTGTTGGGGTAGATTTATGCACTCAGTCTTGAAGTCGCAAGTTGTACGAAATAAAGACCAAATACAAATTATCAAATCTTTTACAAAAAATTAACCCTTGTTAAGCTAGTAAAACCACTTTGAATTTTTATATTTATTTTCAATTTATAATTCTAGGCTAATTTTGTACTCAACTCAGAGTTTTTTGATCTTCAATTAACGGAGATATTGTGAGTTCTGCTAGTTTGGTGTTAAGCTAATAGAACCCAATCACTAAAAACATTTTGTTGAATTGAACTGCATTAGTTTTAGGTTACTATTGCCCACTATTGACAATTTTACTATGTGTTGTTTAATCTACCAGTCACAACTGATGAATGTTTCTGAAGGAAAATAATTTTGTGAAAAATGACAAATCTTATTATTTTTTCAGGATATCAACACATCATACAACTGTTGAATGACACATCTGCCATCACTAATTTAAATGCCTTTGAACCTCCCCAAAGGTTCCCAATTTTTTCAATGATTCAACTGCTGATGCTAGCCTACTATCAGTGACCTAATATTTACAAACTTTATAGTAACTAAATAAAGCTTATCACATTTTGCAGCTCTCGCAAAACTGGTCTCTTTATCAAATTATTTCCGATAATTAGGCTATCTACATATGAAACATGAATTCCAAAACGAAATTCATCAACCAAATATTTAAAAACACAAGAAAATAAACACATATGTGTGATCAATATGAAACGAGGGTCAAATAATTAGCAGATTAGAGGTATTTGACCCTGAAAATTACAAGAAACTTTTGATGGAACTGCACCAATATTTTTATAATATTGATGATATCAGGAATATGCAAATATACAAAATCAAAATTTATTATGGCAGGTATCGCAAATAATAAACCAAAATTTTTTCAAAATATTTTTATTCATCTACTTATGATAATGTATAGAAAGGTAGATTGGAGTATGAAAAATAAACCATACCTTTACTATCGATAACCCGTATATAATCTATGTTATTAACAATGAATGATTCAACCTGATTGAAGTAAAAATGAATAGAGTGAAACTTGTAAGAAATCTGTCTGAATTATATTTTGCTCTCAAAATTTGTTGGAACCAACATTGTCTAAATTACCTAACAAAGAAAAATGGGAAAGAACAGATAAACTCCACAATTCAATGAAATAGAAAATCCATTGAACTCGCTACTTCATAAATTCAAAATGGGTATCTTTCAAAAAGATTTTGAAAAAAAGAAAGGAAATGTTGAGGAATTTGTCAATTTTTCCAGCTGGAATAATTTATACATCAACAACAAAACTCAGATTTCTGTACTCGAAATACCTTCCTTAAATTCCGCTAAATAAAAATGACAAATCATCATCATTCAGACTGATACTTAAATTGAATATAATGGGTCCATTCATACATAGAAAATTGCCATTTCTCACAAACACTTGTAAAGATGAGATTTCTCAGTCCTATCACTCGATAAGTAGGTCTCCACAAACAGGCCGTTTGGTTAATCGCAACCACTCAAGGCTGTCTAAACTCTTTTGGTACGAATTATTAATAGTCCATTCCGATAAAAGCTTCATGGTGCATTCCAACAGAACACTAAACACGAAATAGATAAAAACAGACAATTTCATACCTTCAGGCATTGAGAATACTGGATGAAAACTTGGATCCAATAGAGATACTTTCTCAGATTTGCTCATCGTATCTGGTGGGTCTCTCGGATGGGTCGGATCCGTTCTTCCAGTACATACCGCACACGGAACAGATAAAGGAACACACCCGCACCGGATCGTGCTGGGCCTCGCGGCCTTTCTCGACACCGCGTGCAGCCCTGAAACTTGCAGAAGCTTTCTTTTTTTGTGTATCACAAGTGGTCTAGTCCTGGCACATTGATAGTCTAAATCGGAACTTTCAGCTTTGGCACCGTCCTCCGTCTTTGAGATGGGGGAACTGCCCGGCAACTGGCCACAATATCCATTGATTGTAGTCTGGGGGGTTTGCAGCAAAGGGGTACATGGGGGACTGGAGCCACCTAACTTTACAGCAACTTTATTCGCTCGGATCTGTTTGTGCCAATCCGTGTGCTGACGTATGCGGTACTCCAAATCTGATATCTGGGCTTGAATCCAGGTCCACCGAGCTGCTATCAATCCTCGTTCCTTTGCATATTTCCAAAAGGCCCTTTTTTGTCTGAAATGCAAACATACTCATAAAAATCATATCAAGCCTAAAATGATAAATTTCTCTTAGTCATTAGATTTGAAGTATTGCATACCATGGGCGAAATTGAAGGTTATTTGCTGGGGGACTGATTTCTTCATTATTACAGACAATTTAGGCTCATCAAAAAAGAAAAAGGGATATTAACCTGATATTAAAGTTCAGTATACACAATGATAACTCATCAAAATTTCAACTATCTTAATGTTACACACTTAAAAAATACAACTTGTTTCCCAAATAATCCTTCATTATTTAGTCATTCCTATAAATTGCATTTATGCATGAACTGTGAAAGTGGATAAGAGTGTAAAATTGCACGGTCCTTTTTATTGACATTCATCTTCAGCGGAAGAGCTAAGAGTAGATTGGGTTACTATTCAGGTACTAATACCAACACTATTGCAACAAGGCCGAGTTTTGTTGACAGATTATTTCTGCTTGGTAGTCATTGGTTATTAGTTAGCTGGTTATTTCAAAGTAGAATATTCGCCCAAAAATGTTTGGGGCCTTGCCCCCAAAGTCTCTCGTGACTTCGCTCCTACTGCATACAAACATATAAACAAATATGACTGCTATCTTGAATAATCAAATAAATAAAAAGGTAACACCAAAAATCTTCATGAATCGTATAAATTCATATAACTTAAAATGAAAAAAATTATAACTCTTTCAAACTTGAAAACCTACCTAAATTATTTATGACAACACAATCTTTTAGGTGAAACCCTGGAAGCAAATACACACTTACCATCGATGAGATTCAACATTTATTAATGAGAAAAACCTTTGAAGTACAATGTTTCTACAAAATAAAATTAATTGAATAAAAATAACAAAAAAAAAATGAAAACATCTCTTAATAGTGGTGTCTGAATATTTTCAGTTTGTTCCCCATTCGAGTAATTCAAAAGTAAAAAGAAACAAACTTACTCTTCTCCCACCAAAAATTCTCAGGAATTATCAATTGAATCAACATTTCCCTGACTTGAACCTGCAACTCTGTACCTCCCGTCTTACTTATTAACTGTTCCTAAATAACTCATCCAATCCAATAAAGGTATTTACTAAATCTTGTCAATAATCCCTAACCCTAGTTAAATATGAATTCAACAATACAACAAACAACAATACAACAACAAACGACAAACTCTATAATGTTTTCATTAGTGATAAAAAATGACACCATACTACTACTTATACAAGAGACTGGAAGTAAAGGAGATTCAACTTTTGAAGGGGACAAGATATCAAGGCCAGACATAATTTATGTATAAAGGAATAATTTTTAGTACTTTTTGATTAGACAGACAATAGTGTTGCACTCATATTCAAGAGGAAGCTATCAACTTTTTTAGAATAGAAAAGGGGGTCTTGTCATACCTCGTTTGATAGCCATTTCATGTCTCTATCAAACATGGTCTTATTTTTGTAAATCAGATCAGTCTTCCTGAATAATTTCTAGTTTCATATTCGTTTCGATTGCAAGAAAATTTTTCTCAAAACTCAATCCTGCTTAATGCTTGATGTTAACCACTCACTTCCTGACAGTAATGAAGTTTGTTTAAAAATTCATTTTTTACATTATAGAATGTTTCTGGGGTAATTTCGTTAGGAGCACCAATTATTCTATCCATAAGCTAGACTGTGGTTGTGTAAAAAATACATCAGATATCCCGAATCCTCACAAAAAAAATGTAATGGCATTATATTGGGTGATCTAGCGGGCCATTCTGAAGAACTACATTTGCCTATCCGCCGGTTTGGAAAATTGTCATCTAGTCACTTTTGAACCAGCCTGTACGTAATTAGGAAGAATCTCATCTTCTGAAACATATGTTGAAAACTCATATGATTTTTCAAGTATCGATATCGATAGATAGGCTGACGTGGTTCCTTAGACGGGCCCACTAGATCATCTGATATGACACATCTAGAAAACCCCAGTTCTTTTAGAACTCGTGGATGAGAAAGAGTGGTGCTTGCAACGATATTACCCCAGGAACATTTCATACCTCAAGGAATTGAATTGAAGAAAGACTTTATTACTGCCAGGAATCGATTGGTAAACATTTTGAGATTTATGAGAATGAACTTTATAACAATATTGTTGATTGGAGATTGGCTTCTCCGAACTTTCCAAGTCTGTTTTTAATCACCAGTGATTTGAATCCAATGAAAATAATTCTCTCTTGTTCATTTTTCTGATGGTAATCTCAATAAAAAAATATATTTTGCGGCAATTTTTTTTGTCAGCTGACTTGTACCATACTGTCTTTGAGATCCCTCATATATTTACAAATAATTTCTTGTGATTTATCAGGTACTACTAGTTCAAAGACAAAACTTCAACTTCATCTTTTATTATTACTTTAATAATGAAACCGGTGTCAAATCTTGATATAAGATTGTGAAGAAAAAGTTACCCAGATGCGTTAATGTATTTTTATTTTCAATTTTCCTATAATGATATAACATTTTTTAAAGATGAAATTTAGGAAATGTTCCCCAAGCAAGAGAGAAATTTTTATAAACCTTTTTTTGGTGTTACTCTTTATATTCTACACTATAGAAGGAAAACAAATTACTTCAAAATTAGCAGTGTTAAAAAAAGTGGTGTATGATGATTCGAATTTATTTTCATTATGGTGATGACTTTCTAAGAATTGTAAAATTAAAGTATTTAATAATTTTGCTGATAAACCAATCACTATTACTTGCCCAGTTATAAATAATTATTTTCTATCCAAAACTATTTAATAATTTTGCTGATAAACCAATCACTATTATTTGCCCAGTTATAAATAATTATTTTCTATCCAAAACATCTGAATTATATCCATCCAACAAACAAAGCAACCCAAACAAAGATAGCCTGCTTCCACTGGCCAATCAAATTTAACTGCAATCGACTGGCGGAATTCATTGTTACAGTGTCGGAGTAATCAGTTATGTTTCAACGCCTGTGGTGTGTACATATACGGTATCTTAAAGTTTGAAATTTTTAAAATGTCAAGTACTGATACAGATGAAAAATCTGACAATTTGTGTCTCTACACTGCCCAAAAAAATTTTCCTATACCCAGCCGAATATTAAAAAAAAAAAAGGTAATTCCTTAATGTGACTGTACAAGCAGCCTTGTCTGGGAGATCACATGCACTAGGTAATGTTTTAGAGCAGTCCATTGCTCAGATGCACAGTGTATATAAGTTGAAATGAGCCATGATGGCAAGTATGATAAAATCAACTCAAGAAACCATTTTAAGGGATAACACATTTGGATCAAAAGAGATTTATTCATTTAATCCCCATAATAATTGGATAAAGTGAATAATGAATAATTACCTTCAACAATAGGTTTCAAATATAAATTGTCACAACTCACCACTTTTTGCAAGAGTATACTTTTTGAAGAATTAAAGAAGACAATCATCTCTTACTACATCATAAATACTCAACAATTGAATCTCATTACTTGGTGCATATTAAAAATATCCTCGAAAAACATCTAGTTTCACCTTAATTTATATTTCAAATAATAGGTTCATTAGATATTTTCATCAGGGGTCAATTACTTACGAATTTATCATATTTATGTTAAATAATATACTTCCATAATGAAAACATTAATATTTAATTATTACTTTTACCCTCAATGAGGTAATAAATCCTGCCAATTTCTGTAAAATAATATTTTTTGGTTGACCAAAATGGCAGAGCGTATAAGTTTTATGTTCATGTTATAATAATAATAATAAAAGTCAATTCATTGATAAATGCAATAATATTTAGAATATGAACCTCATTATGAATAACCTTAGATATGAACCTTATGAAGAGAACTTGTACACAGCATCCTAAAGGTGGATTTATAACAACCAATGTTACTAAAACCAAGGTTAATTCCTGTATAAACACTAATTTCATTAAACGATTTATTAATCTGACATTTTACAAACAATATAGAAATTTTTTGTTTCATTTAAGCAAAAGAATAGTAAGAATTTCTGGAGCAACTAAATATATGGCATCACCCTGCAAACATTAAAATAATATGGTTCCAGAAAGAAACTATTCTCACTATCACGTTAACTCAATTGAGCAACTATGATAGTTAGGAAAGTATTTTATAAAAATAGATGTTTAGATATGCCATATGCTTAATCTGTGTAAATACTTCTCTGAGAATGGATATTAGAACCTCAATTGTTATAGCAATGTTATATGGTCATGTAAAAGTGGACTAAGTTTGTGTAACTTCAAAAGGATCAAAAATGGTGTTGTCAGGCACATTTAATTCAATGTTGAAATATAAGCTACAAGTAACAAGTATTACAAGTAACCTTTGGAATAGGACAATTGTTCATTTTTATGGTTGACTGGGAAAACGTTTACAAAATGTCAGTGTGACAGAAAGTTGATGTAGTTCTCTATGGAGTTATCAGAGTTGCATTTTCCAAAATGTACCTTCTGGCTATCAACTATGAAAATATTCATTACAAAATACAGCCCTACGACTATAAATATAAAGGAAAGAAAAACAAAAATACTCACACACTGAGGTACTGCTGATGGGGGTTGTTATAAGTTTGCATTTCATCACAGCTCTCACCTCCTGAGCTACTTTCAGTAGCTTCAGAATCAACATACTTTTGCGTCAAGTGGGTTTGGGTTTTTAATTGTCTAGCCACTTTTTGCAGTTCATTTTTGGTTTCAACAGACCAGGGAGTAATACTGATTGTTCCAGCACTATTCCTTGGCATAGGAATTTCAATGGAGCCTGATCCAAAGTATTTGGGAGCAGTCTTTTGTCTGGCAATGGTATTAGCTTGCAAGTTTGCACTCATTTCTAATTTCCTAACTAATGTTTTTGCTGAACTGTAAGACATGGGTTTAAGTTGGTTCTTGGTTTCATTACATAACGTTGGTAACAGTGGAGGTTGCCCTTCCAAAACTTCCTTAGGTTTTTTTAGATTTCGATGAACATTTTCAAACACTCCAGCGATTTCACTAGCCACATGCTGCCCCAACAATCTAGACTGCAACTTGAAGACCCTCCTTTTCAAAAAGTCCAACCTCCTCTGTTCTTTTGCATGTTTCTTTTGCAGTGCCAGCAATACTTCGTTAGCTTGAGATTCTTTCTGTCTGACTGCCGTATCGAGCTCATCCTGTTGGTCCTCAATTGACATATCCATTACATCTACATTTTCGAGCAGTTCTTTTTCAAATGAAGACAGGTTATTGGTTAACTCGGCAGTATCCAGGGTGAATATTTCCTCACCTTCACTATTCAGATCATTACTACTATTTAATCGTTCATTTCCTTCTATAGATTTAATTACTTGCATTATATCTTCAACATTATTTCCCAAGTCTCCTGTTGAACTCACGGCATCAGTTTCTGGTAAGACAGAACTCAAGTTATTCAGTAAATTTTGCATATCACAAGAGTTCTTATCTTTACAATCATTCAAATCTGTCTTTTGGAGTCCCATCTTGTTTTCTTGGTCGCCCATAGATGATGGACTAAAATTCATTATAGTGAAGTTTGAACCGGTAAAGTTATCCGAGGCACTACTCGATTTGTTGCGAAACTTACGCAGCGAGATTGTTGTTTCAGAGATCACTGAAGATTTTTTGAATGCATCATCCTTCAAATATGGAGCAAAGTTATTGAAGTATTTATTTTTAATGTAACTATTTTTTGGAAAGTCTGGTTCTAAACAAGACTTTGGTGGCAAGTCAAAATTCTGCGTTTGAACCGTTTCTGTTAGAGCTGGGGCCATGACCTCCGCATGGGTATGCCTCAGCGAGGCCGTACGCAATCCCATTCATCCAGTGTTTTCTGATTTCAACTTCACCATGTCAATCAACATTTATCAAATTATGTTTTGAAATGACCAGCCTTCTTTACCCGCCGAAAAAACTAACTTTCAAAATAAAGATGCTGCTATTTAACCACCGGCCAATTCCATAACAAAAACAAACGTGAATTTAAGCCAATTATTAAAGGATATATCGATGACGGAAGTACTACACAATCAAATATTTGAATACACCCGTAGAATAAACACTATTTCGTTAATTAGTACGATAGATCGGTCCTGGATGGTGAAAAACGGCACACTCCCACGTGACAAACAGAAGCTTACGAAACGGTTTATTACGAAGCTTGCTAATAGGAACTACTCATCCAACATTGCACCACTTTGAACACTAATTTCAGTATTTATACACTTGCTTATAGGAGTCATAGTTCTGAAACTGGTACGAACAACGTCTGTAAATCGCGTTGGAAGGAAGAAATTAATTGGTAAATTGTGAACAATCACTTTTTTAGTTATTCATTGAACAACAATGGCGACCTGGCGACATTCCTAAAAACAGCAAAACGGTAGTTACAAGCAGGAAACGCGAAACGGCGAAACTTGAGCAAACCACAACGAATTTATCTGTTCTACTTCTTCTTAATTACTTAGGTGTCAATGTCATTATTGCGGCGAATCCTGTCGCGTATCAGGCAAAACGTCTACCCTTTATACTGGATTTCCACAGCTTCATCTTCCGGTTATCAACTGTATTTTTAATATATTGACAAAGTATGGTACACTGCATTTTTAATAATTCAAATTTTTCCAGTATTGTTTCTTTAATGTGTAATATCTCTGTTCAGCAGTGGTGCATTTAGAAATGTTCAAGGTGTAGGCTGTATAATTTTTGCTGCCCTTGTCTCTAAAATTGTCATGCCCTACATTATTTTAAATATTCTTTTTTGCGCTTCCTAACAGTTGAAAAAATCACCTCAGTCAAGTTATAAAAAGCTCGTTGCAATAACTTCTGTTGGCAATATTATCGATGATACCGTCATAAGTATTCTTGTTCATAAACTCTGACTCTATGCAACAAAGAGAAAGGGCGTTCAGTTTTCCTTAGCTCAAGGCCGATCTCAGATAATTTTTCACCCTTTTCAGACAAGAAAAACTTCTCTGACTCAAATAATTTTTGAGAGGAGGAGAGTCATCCGTAAAATTTGTTGCAGACTTGTATCTGTAAGAAATCAGAAAACCGTCATGCCAAAATCTTTTTGATTTCCATGATTTAGCAAAAAATCGTTCCCAAAATTTGCCGCCCCAAAAATCTGCCGCCCTAGGCTCAAGCCTATTCAGCCTGCTGGTAAATCCGCCACTGCTGTTCACTATCTGTATGTATTGTATGTACCTGGGTAAAATTGTTAAATGCATGGCTATATTTGTGCAGATTTATGTTTACTCTGTATTTGAGCCATTTTATTATGATGTTGTTATTATATTTGTATGAATATGTGTATTGTATATATGGTTGCGTGGTGACTAAAGTGAATTTTGTAGCTTTGTCAATAAGATCCGATGTTTTTAGGACAATAAAGCATATTATCGTCAACTACACGAGCACTACATAAAATATATGTTAATATTAATTTAACACTGAGTATGCGTTTCATTAGGCGTTCACAACCATCACGTTCATGACCGCAGTTTTTCGGGTTCCACTTGTTTGCAAGCGTTACTGTCGTAGACCCGAGTGGAATGGATCATGAAGCGTTTTGGGCGTTCATGTAAATATTACAAATGGTAGGTTGAAACAATAAAGTAGAAGTTCAAAGAAGTTTGAATGTAATCAAAATGTATTTTATGTAAATATGATATTTGTTAATACGTCGAAATATAGCTCCCTTAAACAATGTCCAGAGACTAGTTCAGATGGAGAGTTGAATGCAATTTCACAAAATTAAAATCGTGGAAACTGAAAAGTTAGGTCACGTATTATTGATTATGAGAGTATAAATCATCTTTATTCAGATGAAGAAATCATGTCATTTCAGGTACATGATTTTCTATTACATATTTCGAAAATGTCATGTCTAATTGCACATCTAGATTATTTAAATTTATTCAATTCAGTTAATTATTCATATCAGATAATTTATCTATTTTATGTGTTATTTTGCATTCATAAAAAAGTTGAGAATTTTACCTAAGCACAGAACATGCTTGTATTGTGTCTATTCTCTTCATTTGAATGAATCCTTACGACCATAGAAAACAAAACAAAAAGTTTTCATATTGTAGGTTATATAATATATTAGAGAGAGAAGGTATAAATTCAATGGACCAAAGAAAGGAGTGAAAACGGGTATTCCATGAATGAATACTCCTTGAAATTTTCGTGTGATATGATAAATTTGTGTCAGTTTTGTGGGGATATTGTTAAACACTGTTGCATTTTGATCGAGGTATACTTTTTTTTTTCAATTTGAGCATATTGTGGAGTTTTGGACCAAAGTGTTTTGCACTGTTTGCATGCAAGTCATTGTACTATGAAATGTTCCACTTCGAGCTATTATACAATACCGTATTACCGACTCAGCTAAAGATGTATAACACTCTAAATTTACATATGTATGTACTATAAATGTATGCTTCTCCTATTTTTTTGTCTCCATTATCAAGCTTTGAATGCCATATTTCAAAAATAATTTAAATAATTGCTCCGAAATATTCTCAACGTCAACTTTGTCTCATCTCTTCAGATGGGTTGTTGTGAGCTTGCCGTGAACGAAGGTAATGACGTCATGAGTGACGTTTTCGCCGCGACCACAACGACTGCGGTCGTTGTGTGGAACAGCTAAAGAAGCATTTTGATCGTTGTGAGTGCTTAGTGGAACGCACAGTTGATATATCGTTGAAGAACATACAAATAGGGTTTTCGTTCTATACACATCCAAGTTACAAGTACCGTTTACAAGGCGACTTGAATTATAGTGCGTTCCACTAAGCGTTCACAACGATTACGCTCACGACGGCAGTAATTCCCGTTTCACTTGCTTACGAGCTTTACTGTCGTAAACTCAAGTGGAATGGATTATGGAGTGTTTTGGGCGTTCATGTAAATATTACGAATGGTGAGGTTGAAAAAATGAAGTATAAGTTTTTAATAGGTTAGGTAAGCCTTAACAATTAGTTTCAATAATTGCAATCTGACTTCATTTATATGAAAAAAGAAGTATAATTCAATTTTTAATATATAATTTCAGTGAAGTTATTAAACAAATTAAGTTTGAATGTAATCAAAATGTCTTTGTGTATGCGCCGCGATAGGGTTCCAGAAACTAGTTAAAATGAGTGGAATACAACTTTATAATATTATAATCGTGAATACGGAAAACTTAGACCACGTATAATTGATTATGTAATAAATCGAAATAATTCAGATGGAGAAATCAAAAGTCATTTCAGGTACATGATTTTCTATCACATATTACACTGTAGATTTCGAAAATATGTCCAATTGCACACCTGTTTGCGCACGATCAGCGTCGGCTTTAGAAACAATAGCTTCTATTGAAATTTCTCTTTCTGAATCAAATAAGGTAATTTTTCTTGTCGCCATATTTAAGCTTTGAAAGTCACATTTCAAAAATTTCGCCTAAATATTTTTAACGTCCATTTGGATCCTCTTCAGATGGGTCGTTGTGAGCTTGCCGTGAGCGAAGCTGACGTCATGAGTGACGTTTTCGTTGCGACCACAACGGATCGCGGTCGTTATAAGGAATGGCTAAAGGAGCATTATGATCGTTGTTAGTGATTATTAGAAGGCACGGTGGTTAGTATTGTATCGCAGTACTATGATTGTTCACTCTATCGTCTGTCAAACATAGCAACTAACACATTCTTTACAAAATTTGTATCCGCTTGTGCGAATCTTTGTGATTTCAATTCGTTGATACTATTACGAGTTGGACGTCGCCTTCGATTTAACGGTCTAGTACTATCGCCTAAATAACTTATCATCAGCACAAACGATACTTTCACAATAGGCATTCTGAGAGAACTTTTCTTAAAACAACAAATGCTGATTCGTAGAAATTTCAATGCAAAATATCATTATTCTTAATTCGTTGTTTTCCAAGGGTGAGGCACCGCAGCCTTGCGGCAATGATCCCCCAGAATAATATTTTCCTTGAATCCTGATTCACCGACAAGACTTCACAGGATTTTAAAAATCAATTTAATAATTCATGGATATTTCTGAAAGACCACAGAACAGTTTCCTAGAGATAAGACAGGGAGTAAGTACGCAGGTGTATATTAGATTGTTCGACCAATCAGATCAATCTCAACATTATGATTTATAACCTATTTTTTTCAAACAGTACATATCAAAACAACAGTCAATATAGTAATTTAAATCGGTTAATAAATCTCTCTAAAATTTCGTTTTACATTTATTACTGACAAGATCAAAAGTATAGAAATGAATAAAAAAACATTTTTAAAGAATCTTTTGGACCAATGCAAAAATGGGTTCTTTGAGGAAATCTTGCAGCTAGTGAATGAAAACGAGAACTTCTTGGAGAAACTTGATCAAACCTCCGGTATAAAACTCTTGATTAGTTGTTGTAACGCTTGTATTGATACCCCGAAGAGTATATCTGAAGAACATTTGCACAAGTTTTTGAAGTTGATTGTATCCTCTATAAGAGATCCAAATGAAACAGATCAGTTGCGCTACATACAGTCGATATTCCATATACTTAATATGTTAGTTCGTAAGGTAAGTTTGTTTTTTTTTAATGTCATGTACACTGATTACAAGGTTTCATCATGAGACCCACCTTATCCTTGCTAACCAACAATAACAAAAACTCTTTATCTTGTGAAATTTCTGAAAGTAAGCTATTTTCTTCACATCTAAGTTTAGTCTGATAAAAAACGGTGAATTGTTCTTTGCGTGTATCTCGTCTCTGATGACTGACATTCAATGCAATCATTAATTTAAATACTTTATAATCTATAAAAAATAGTGTTTCTGTTAACCAGCTGTTGCTCCCTTATGAACAACAACCTTCCGCGCATATTCTTCATCAGGGATTGACCAACAAAAAAGAAAATTTGTTCTAATTGACCCCAGCCAAGTTTGCATAATTTTATTGTCTTGTTAAACTGAATGGCTAATATCAATGCTGATTCAGATAAAGCTTTAATAAATCAGAATAGCACAAATTAAGGTTTTTAGTTCAAACCAGTTAGATGTATATTTATTCATGTTTGTATTTATTATGGTTACCAAGAAAAATCTCTGTTTATAGAGGGATAAATCATATCAAGCAATTTACTTGTATATGTATAGAGTTCTATTTTATTTTATGATTTAGAATTTAAGTATGATTTCTCAACAGTTTTTATATGTATATTAGGTTATCTGTTGTCAGTGCTCTATCAGAATTAATTGAAATGATAATGATGCAGACGAGAATAATATGCCATACAAATATACATATGGATTTTAAACCAAAAATAAAACACAGAGTGTCACAATTAACAAAAACTATGTCATATAGGTATTCATTGATCACCAAAAGGCTTTTGATGTTTAGATGTTAATAATAATGATTATTATTATAATAAAAAAAATACTTTGAACGATAAAGGCAGTTTTAAAAAATTTTGTGTAAATCTATTTATTAAAACAACGATAAAAATAAAAACAACAATGCGCAAAATTTTCTAAATGTACAATATTTTTTTAAACCTATTTCTTTCTTATACATTTTCTTCATACTTTTCTTATTTTTTGTTAATGTATATAAAAACTTGTATTACCTCAAGGTTATTACTGTTACAAATAAAGTTTCTGTTATCATTAATAAAAGCAGATGTTAGATTTTCTTTTATTAATTCTTTTTTTTTCTTTTTCAGAATTGCTACAGTATTATCATGGAAATGGAAAATATTTTGATGCCTCCCTTTTTACCATCTGCTATACCCAAGAATCTTAGAGATATCTACGATAGCATTGTTATAATTCTTCACAATTTAGTAGCAAAATGTGCTGTAGAAAATGACAGAAACAACAATGAATCATTGATTTCGATATGCACACTGATTTCAAAAATATGTAGTAAAATGTTAGGATCACTTTATTTGATCAACAGATCTTACAAGTGCTTCTCAAATTTATTATGTTTGAAAATTTCTGTTGATGAGCAAAGAAAGTTTTTTGAAAATGTTCTGCTATTGATAGATAGCAATGAAATTCAGCCAAAGCTAGAAGAATGTTTCAAGTATATTCTTTGTTATTCCACAATTGTCTTGCATAACACACTGAAAACGTTTGATTTCAAACAAGCCTTAGAGTTCTGTAATAGGTTATCTAGTCTAGTGAAAGAGAAATTGATTCATGAGGAGTATGTACATTTGGCACATTTACTAAAGTCATCACTTGTCATTTCACCTGTGGAATTGAAGGATAAATTTCAGACTCTTGTGCAATGCTGCGAAAGTATGAGGATTCTCGATAAAATATGGATAGACTCTGATAATGGAAAACAGATTAGAGAAAAATTGTTGGCTCTAATCCAGACCATAACATTTTATTACAAATCTAGCGGCACAAAGGAATGGCTACGTTTTTCAGAAGCACTACAACTTGAAATATTAAATTTTGTGGCAAGTGTTTCAATCCACAATTTTATGCATATCCAAATTATTTTAGGTTTGATAGAAATTTATGCACAATTTGGAAGTGTTATTTCGAGTAATTATCACGGAAACTGTTTGAAATTAATGGAAATCTTGTTAAATCAAATAAATCAGTTGAAACAGAAACAATGTGAGGAATGGAAGAAAGCTTGGAATGCTTTTGGAATTGGAGTTTTTAATATCGGAGTTCATCTAGACCGAAGTGGTAATGAAGGGGCATTGCTTTATTTTAGTTTCCTTTTGACTAGTTACATTAATCTGGAAAGTTGGAAGGGTAAAACATATTTGAAATATCCAACACTTTTAAATTGCTTGAAAATCCTCTGTGAATTGCATTCAAATAAGCCAGAAAAATATTTAGGATTGAGTGCTCTGGCTGTTCTTTTATGCCCAAATAATAAAGAAGTCTTTACAGCAGGTTGGGTTAAACTCAAACACAATCAACGTGAAAGTAAATCACCCGGATTTGAAGATATACAAAAAATTACAACTGTGGCGGCATTGAAAATGCTGCAACAGGATGCACCAGAACTTGCGATTGACTTGAACGATTCTGACAAATTGTGTTTATTGAAATTTGAACTAGAGCAATATAAAAAGAGGTGGAAAAGTAAAGTTCCCATAATGGCAGCTGTCCAAGAATTGTGTGAACTATCAAATCTGGAAGGGGTTGTAGAAGCCATTGTAGAAATTTTTGGTGACCATGTACTACCACTACATGAAAATTGTTTAGAGAATTTCACTAGTGTTTTATTCAAGTTTAGAGACAAACTGAAACACACTGGAAACAAGTTAAAACAAGTTCATTTAGCACTATTGTACCATATCTGTTATAAATATAAAATGAGGCAAATAATAGCAAAAAATGCTCAGGATATGGAATGGACCTCAATTGTCCCCATAAAAGTACCCGGGGTCATTCCTAGAGATCCAAGTGAAGAATGTGATGTAGTATCTTCGTATGAAAGTTTAACATTGGAGAAGTTCACCTGCAACTTGAATAATCTCGATGAAGCACTTACTATTCTTTCAAAAATTATACACGACTTGAATCTTGATGATAATCTCGAATGTGTATTTGCAATTAATTTATATGACCGTCTGATACAAATATCACATGAATACAGGCTACTTCGACATAGAATAAGGAGTTTACAAGCCTCTCAGATGGCCTTAAAAGTAGCGCAGATACAAAACAACTTGGCTGGTATTGTCCAAGCATCAAGTTTCATTGTTGAATTTGCTGATGTCAATAAACTTTACCCTAAAAAACAAATCGAAATGGTAGACAAGTTATTGGAAAGAGCAGACTTTTCAAAAGAACAAAATTTGAGAATTGTTTACTGAAAATACTGCTAAATAAACGAGGAAACAAATGCTCAGAGGCATAGTGAACATTGAGTGAAATGACATTCATGTCATATACAGTATTTTCTTCATCAACTCATTCAATATTTCACGAAGAAAAAGTAAAACATTTTATTTTTCAGATGATATAAATCCAAATGAAAAGGAGTACGAAACTTCAATAATGCTAGATGCCAGCGAGGAACTAACCAGACTGTACCACTTGATGAAAGTCCCTATTGAAGTACGAACTTACGGCAGAGAAACGTTTCTCCTCACCCAAAAGTTGGTCCTGCCCCTTCGATGTTCAACCTATCTGTTGTATCTTGCACACGCTGATCTAATGTCAAGTCGTCTGAACGACTGCCAAGTGAAAATCGATGGTATGGCCAATATTTTGTCTCTTCATAAAACTGAAAAATCGAAAATCATGGAGATTTCTCAGAAAAATTTGTCTCCAACCTCCGAAACGGTATGCACCAACAATTCTATGGAAATTGTTTTGGATTTGCCGATTCACAACCAGTTTTCACCATCATCACCGAAATTTGTGGTTCAGTCCTTCCACATGCCAACTGTGGCAAAACACAAAAAGTCATGCCCTTGTTTCTACTGCATTTGCTTTGAATACCAGACTCTTCTTGTCGAGCAAATCAGAATCAGTGCCTTATTGAGTATCAAGCAGAATAACATGTCAATTGCTCAAAGCTACTTTGAAGGTGCCTTAAATATATACAATTATTACAGCAAGAAGTGGGATTCAAATGATGAAACGATTACAGAGTTCATTCACCATGACCTGAAACCTGATTATAAAAAGGAATTTTTGTCATCCTATGGATATACCTTGTTAAATTTCAGCAGTCACTTGTGTAGGATGAAGATTAAGACTGAATCTTTTAGTACAAATGATAAGTTGATCGACATCTTATCTACATTTAAACTCGACCATGCTTTTTTGTATAATGAGGCAATAGGACAAAAGTTGGGTTATCTCACCGAAACGATAGCTGTAGATCCGCTACATGAAATTCAAAACGATATGGAGTTTTTGTCTGTGAACGATAATGAGGAATTGCAGAAAACTCCTGAATCTAAAAGAACTCAGATTTCTATTCCCGTGAAACCAGTGAGTCCCAGTTTTTCACCTATAGTAAAACCAGGGAAAAAATGCTTGCTATTCAATTTGTCTCCTGAAAATCTCACTGAGCCTTTCAAAGACCTCGGTCCACTTTCTAACCTGAAAACACCAGCTCAAAAAATCAAAATTTACACAGACACCTCCGAAAGAAAAACTCGACAAAGAAAGCCTCAGCTTAGTAGTAATGTTAAGGTTGGACCAAGCAAAGAAACCGTAACATCTGTCGCTTGTGACACAAAAGTTGAAAGTGCCCTGAAGCCAAGAACTAGATTGCTGACGGAAAAGCTGAAGCAAGGTTCTAAAAAAAATGAGACATTGACAAGCAAATCTGAAGGAAAAAGCTTAGGAAAAGTTCCGAGTTGTTCCAAAATATCTGTCAAAAAGAATTTGTTGGAGGAATTTCCAACATTAGACAATGAGAGGAGCAACGCACAAAATGGGGCCATTCGAAAGTCTACTCGGAATAAAAATTAGCCCTTTATATGTGTATTTTAGGATGTATAGTAGTATATTTTGTTTGATGTATATTTTGTATATTTTTGTAAGTTGAAATAAATATTACATTAAAAAGTTGAGATATTTTAACGTTTGTTTGAAGGTGGTTGACAATGTTTCGTGGTGTATTTCATCTGTTTGGACTTCCATTGTCTATGTCAATAAACTTTACCCTAAAAAACAAATCGAAATGGTAGACAAGTTATTGGAAAGAGCAGACTTTTCAAAAGAACAAAATTTGAGAATTGTTATGACCTATTATATTTGTAAAAGCAAAGCTTTATTCAGTATCGATATTCACGAATCTTACAAAACTTTTCAAATGGCTATGCAGTTGATGGATAATCAAGACAGCAGCGAGGGACTCAGTTCTATCAAGAGTCAGCTTCTTCTGTTGAAATTCAAGTTTTCAAGCCTGCCCTGTTCTCTGGAAATAGAAATTCATAGAAAAAATACGTTGATGGATGTGTATTCAGCTACAGCGATAATGTTTGATGAATACAAAAAAAATCACTTTGGTGAGTATACTGTTATAGATATTTTCCATCAAAGCATTCAAAAGCTATAAGATCATAATAAATATAGTTTGGAAAACTAAAAAACACGCTTTTAAAGAACATCGAACTAATTAAAATTTGAAATTAAAAGATTCCAAACCAAGTTACGTCACAACGTTTCGATTGTTAGTATCCACAATCGTCTTCGGGTGATAACTGAACATATTCTCCCGAGATCTGAGTATTTATAGGTCATTCGAGTGCTTTCACCTATCCCCTCTTCCCTCTCTCCGCTTCATTGGTTTTGTCGGGAGTTGGTCGTTTTCCGCTTGATTAGAGGTTTCCGTATGTTACGTATCTCTACGCTAGCTTGACTAAATGCATTGTTGGACATCATATACGTGGCTTCTTTGAATTTTCTCTTAAACCAGTGTTTCTCCTTGTGGATGATTTCAGCTTGAGCCCACTTGATGTTATGTTGATGAGTCCAAACATGCTCTGCTATTCCAGATTTGCTGGTTTCTCCTCGCTGTGTGTGTTTCTTGTGCTCGGCAATGCGAACTTTCAATGGCCTCTTAGTTTCACCGATGTATGACTCTCCGCACTCGCAGGGTATCCGGTAAATGCAATTCTTGGAATCGCAGTCCGCGTTTGGTGGCCTGGTTTTTGTGAGGCTGCTACGGAAAGTGTTCCCAGATCTAAAGCAGGTCCTGATGTTATACTTGGACCCAATTCTTCTTATCCTTTTCGATAATCCTCCTTGTGGAGCTTTTGCTGTCTTCTAGCTAAAGGCTGTCCTACCATTACTCTGGAGTAACCATTCCGTTCTACCATCACTCCACCACACCACAAGGAAGAGAAGCCGTCACAACCAGTACTTGTACTTACCTACATCAGAGGATTATTGGAAAGGATAAGAAGAATCGGGTCCAAGTATAACATCAGGACCTGCTTCAGATCTGGGAACACTATCCTTAGCAGCCTCACGGAATCCAGGCTACCAAATGCGGACTGCGATTCGAATAATTGCATTTACCGGATACCCTGCGAGTGTGGAGAATCATACATCGGTGAAACTAAGAGGCCATTGAAAGTTCGCATTGCTGAGCACAAGAAATACACACAGCGAAGAGAAACCAGCAAATCCGTTATATCAGAGCATGTTTGGATTCATCAATATAACATCAAGTGGGCTCAAGCTGAAATCATCCACAAGGAGGAACACTGGTTTAGGAGGAAATTCAAAGAAGCCGCGTATATGTTGTCCAACAACGCATTTAGCCAAGCTAGCGTAGAGATACGTAACATATGGAAACCTCTAATCAAGCGGAAAACGACCAACTCCCGCCAAACGGTCATCTCCCGCTAAAACCAATGAAGCGGAGAGAGAGAAGAAAGGATAGGTGAAAGCACTCGAATGACCTATAAATACTCAGATCTCGGAAGAATATGTTCAGTCCCATCCCAGCCAGGTAGGGGTACCCCGTGAAGGGCGATACTGATGTCTGAGGACTTCATACCGCCAACATCCCCTCAGTTAGAACCCACTTGTCCTTCTTCGACAAAGATCAGCCAAAAAGGTAAGGGAGCTGGGCTCCAACCTGAATGNTTCATGCATTTTTAGAAAATTTCTATGATCTTGTTTCCTTTCTTTCAGATAAATTCAGATATATTATTATTGTGGGTGATATTTTTTCCAAATCTCTGAAAAACAGTGGAACCTCGGGGGCTTATTGAATTTTTTCTTCCATTTTTTTTCATGACTCACATTTCAATCTTAATTGTTTCCTGTACTTGTTTGATATAGAGAAAGGAAGAGACATAGGTACGTTCGATGTTATGAGAAAGAAATACGTTAAATTTTGTGGTTGTTTCAAAAGTTTTGTCCATTTTTCTGAGTCTATCAAACTGTAATATCTCAGCGGATACTTATTCAATTGAATAGAGATAAGCGACATTATTTAAATCAGAGTACCTGATTCTAACGGTGAGAAAGTTATCTAAGTGCTCGAAAAGATGGTAGTCGGTTGGCGATAGGTCTGGGGAGTATGGTGGGTGAGGCAGAACTTCGATGCTCAATTCGTTTAATTTTCGGACGGTGATTTGTCATGGAGCAGGATCGGACATCCTGTGTTGACCAGTTCCATTGGCCGAAAATCGCTTTGCATCATATGGAAATTAGCTGACAAGAGGCAAAAAATTTTAATTTGGTAAAAAATGAACGTGTATAGAGTACAAATTTCTCTATTGATCAGTATGTACGACGACACAGTAGAATATTCATTGAGATATGGAGCTACAAAAACACATGACCTTGAAACGGACAAAACTTTTGTAACAACGGTACCTATAGAAAGCCGGAACCTATCTTTCCCAAAAATTAATTTCTGCTGAAAGGGCACCCTATCAATATTAGATAAGCGGTTGACAATGTTTCTTGATGAAAGGTAGTGAATTGAACTTTCCTCAAGGAAAAAAAAGTGTTGAATCCCAAAAGTTGATAAATCATGGTTGTAAAACTGAAGTTTGAAAGTCCCATATGCGATTGGAAGTACCTAACAACTCTTTATTGTGAGATTTTCACAAAATAGGTGCAATATATGTTTCACTTTATATTAGCTTCTTCAAGTGTATCTAATATTGTTTTCGGTTATGGGTGCTGTCTGGTTTTGACCATTTTTTCCAAATCTCTGGAAAACGGTGGAATCTCGGGGGCTTATTGAATTTTTCCTCCCATCTTTTTTTCATGACTCACATTCCACACTTGTTTCCTGTACTTGTTTGATATAGAGAAAGGAAGAGACATACGTTCGATGTTATGAGAAAGAAATACACCTTGTCGACAAACATTTTTGTGTAAAATTTAGTGGTTGTTTCAAAAGTTTTGTCCATTTTTCTGAGTCTATCAAACTGTAATATCTCAGCGGATACTTATTCAATTGAATAGAGATAAGCGACATTTGAATCAGAGCACTTTTGCCAACGTTACACAAGTTGATTAATCCAGTCGGTATATACATTGTATGCTCGGGATGCGATGAAGTCGACGAATACCGTTTTTTCCTGGTCCTGATTCTAACGGTGAGAAAGTTATCTAGGTGCTCGAAAAGATGGTAGTCGTTTGACGATAGGTTTGGGGAGTATGGTGGGTGAGGCAGAACTTCGACGCTCAATTCGTTTAATTTTCGGACGGTGATTTGTCATGGAGTAGGATCGGACATTCTGTGTTGATCAGTGCCATTGGCCGAAAATCGCTTAGCATCATATGGAAATTAGCTGACAAGAGGCAAAAAATTAAAATTTGGAAAAAATAGAGTACAACGTGTTAGGAATCACACGTTAAAAGGTAAGACCTCGTTAATCCTTAGCTCGCACAAGTTTCGACTTCTGAGGGTTGTCGTTCGTAGGGGTGNAAATTTGTTTTATAAAATTCAGTTTTTGGAGATTTCCATAATAATATTTTTACAAATGAATGTTTATTAGTTTCATATATTCATTACATACAGATCAAACTTCTTCTTTAAATCTATTCAGATTTTCTTAAAAATTTGGAATCAAGCTCGTCTTACCGTTAACTTCGAAATTATCTAATTAACATATGCTCGATTTCCGTTTTATTTTTTCAATGGGTGAACTTCTCCCCTGTGAAAAATTTACAAAAAATGCAGTTTTAAACATTCTAAGTCAGGTGTGGTGCTACACATTTTTGCTATTCAGATGAGTTATAAGGCGTTGAACTTAAACTTTTAATTCAAAAAAGGTTTTGCATTATCGATGAAAAGTCAAATTTCAGTGTTGAACACTTTATGTCACTGGTTTATCATATACGTATTATATTATACTCAATATTCATATTTATAATTTATTCAAGTGACACCTCATCGTGGGATTTTCACTAAACAGTTTACAATAGCTTCATCAGCATGTTCATACTAGAGTATCTACTAACGAATTCCTTATATTCTTATTGAAATATTCCATATCATGAATAAGTCTACCTTTGGAAACTTACTTGAGTCTCCCTTGATGAATGTTTCTGGACCGTTCCTTTATAACAGTTCAGACGCTGTACCGACAATCGCACATATCTCATGACGTCACACACAAGCTTTCGACAAATGCACAATTTCGAAATCGCGTATCTTGAAAACGGTGAATGTTATCGATTAGAAATTTTCACTATTATATTCTGGATGACGAGCACTGTCAAAATATTTAAAGAAATGCATAAATTTATTTTACTGAACGAGTTTTATGAAATAAAAAAGGTTCCATCGCAAAAGTAGAAAACAAAATTATCTTCAGGAGCATTTTTCGCACGCTATTTCAAAACAGCAGCGGTTCAAAATACCGGTTTCCAAAAACTAATCTTCCCCAAAAGATATTACCTTTTCAGTTCAAACATTATTCATTCAGTGTATATTCTGTGAAATAACCGGTTTTCATATTTTTCACGGCAGGTATGTGACATTAACAAAATTCTGGGTGTGTTTAAACAGTAGGGAGGGTGAGAGAGACCCACAGCACTTAGGTCACATGTGACCCATTGTACATCCTCCCGAGGAGTTGTCCTCCTTGGTCATCGTCCATCCTGTCCTTTCCTGAAAGGTGGACAGGTCACTAGGATACATCTCCTTTATATATTGGCAGGTGTAGGCCAAGACTCGCCGAACACACACTCTCCTTGGCAACCTTGAGATGTCTTACGGTTTTGGAAGGTGCAGCGACATTACTGTAGTTGCGCGGCTTCTTCAACCTTCTTGGGGTTCTCTCCGTGGAGGTACACAAGTGAGGAAGGTTTCCTGCAGGGGCAGCCGGTTCCTTGCCTTCATTCAAGGCGGAGCTCTTGGCGCCCGCCGCAGGAAGTGTCCTTGCTGTTGGAGGAGGAGTGTGGGAGGAGGAGGGTGCACTTATAGTTGCTGACACTCCTGCCTCCTTCGCTCTCTTTCTCCTGTTGACCTCGGCGCCGCAAATGCGCTTACGCCTTGGCCTTTGTATTACATCACGAGGTGACCTGCTATATCCAGCCTCATTCCAAGCGGTAGATTGGAGTGGACATTTCTGTTCATCCCCTGCCACCGACTTAGATTGAGGTGAGCACTTCTGCCCAGCCTCGGGATTGGTTTTTATGCCAATGTTTTTTTTTGCAGAGATTTGAATGGCTTCTTCAACAATCATCCTAATCATCCTGTTTGGATACACGCCATGTGTCTTCTCGCAAATCAACAACACGGACCTGGAATACCGCCTGCCTAATATTTACATACCAACTCAATACACACTAAATTTACAACTCCCGGAGAGTGCCTTCATGGCAGAAGACAGCGAATATTCCGGATCTGTCTTGATCGTTTTCAATGTTTCGGAAACAGTTTCTCAAGTCAAAATTCACGCCAATCCTGTTTTACAAATTACCGGGGTGAATCTAGTAGGCATTGGTGAAACAAATTTTACAGTCGAGGATGCCACTGAGATATTGACTATCCATTCAAGCACAGGTAAGTTTTCATTTGGAGAAGATAGGTATAAGGTAACGGGTGATTTTTTAAGAGGTATAGGATTTGATTTTCAAAACAACACAAAAAATTTGAAACAATTGATGAAATATATATTAAAATCGATAGAACGATTAATGTAATTTAATGTTTCAATATGATTTCATGCAAATATTGTCCGCGGCTCCGCTTTAGATGCGCCAGGTCCAATTTTAGCACACTTTCTCTAACATATCGACCGGTATTTCACGTATAAATGCTTCAATATTGGCTTTCAGAGTGTCAGTCGTTGCCGGTTTATCCCTGTAGACATGAGCGTTAACGTGACCTCACAAGAAATAATCCAAAGGCGTTAAATCACACGATCTAGGCGGCCAATTGACGGGCCCCAAACGTGAGATAAACTATTCACCGAAGGCGGCTCTTAATTGGGCCATTGTTTCGCGTGTCGTTTAGCATGTGGCACCGTCTTGTTGAAACCACATGTCAGGCATGTCCAATTCTTCCATTTTGGACAACAAAAAGTCGTCAATCATCACACGGTAGCGCTCGCCATTCACAGTAACGTTCCGGCCTTTGTCGTCTTTGAAGAAGTACGGCCTGCTGATGCCACCGACCCATAAACCACACCAAACAGTGACTGTTTCGGGATGCATCGGTAGCTCTTGCAATGCTTGTGGCTGGTCTTCACTCCAGATGCGGCAATTTTGCTTGTTAACGTATCCATTCAACCAGAAATGAGCCTCGTCGCTGAACACAATTTTTCGATAAAAATGTGTCCAACTTTGCCAGCGTCCATTCACCAAATGTTAGACGTTGTGGGAGGTCGTGTGGCTTCAATTCTTGCACCAGCTGTATCTTATAAAGCTTTATACCTAAATCCTTTCGCAAAATTTTCCACGTCTAGTGGAGTAACGCTGCGAATGGCGGCGAATCGACATTTCACGGTCATCACGAACACTGGCGGATACAGCCGCAATATTTTTTTCGGTCCTCACTCTATGTATGCGTGTTGGTGGTTTAATGTCCAATAATGTAAACTGGGTTCGAAATTTAGTCACAAGCTTCTGAATAGCTCCCTCAGTAGGCCGACAAAACTGCCCATAAATTGGAAGTGCACGAAGCACTTTCTTCACCGAACATACATTTTGATAATAAAATTCAATAATTTGCATGCGTTGTTCATTCGTAAGTCGATTCATGAACAAGTTTGACAATGACAAAAGACATGATTAACGCGTGATTTGCCAAAAATAGTGTTGCCAAAAAGATACCAGCAAAAAAATCACTCATTAGTTTCAAAAGTTTTGTCCGTTTTGATGTCACGTCACTCCATATCTCAATAAATATTTATTCTACTGTGTCGTGGAATATACTGATCGATAGAGAATGTTGCACTCTGTACATTGATGCAGTTTATTTTTTCCAACTTTCAATTTTTTGCCTCTTTTAAGCTTATTATATGATGTCGTTAGGCTATTTCCGGTCAATTTTTCTCTACGAATTGAAATTGAATCAAAGCGCTATCAAAACAACCCGAACAATCAACCATGCATTTGGCAATGATAGTGTTAATGAACGCATTGTTCGACGTGGGATTGCGAAATTCAGTTCCGGAGATTTAAGCATCGAAGAAGGTCGACCACAGTAATCCAGGACGAGTTTTTGAGGACCTTGGTGGAGGTTAGGTCTAAAGTGAGTGGGTCAATTCGACTCTCCATCGCAACTCGCAAAGGTTTAATGTGACTTACACCTATTCACACTCGACCAAATACACCCAGCTCCTTAACGAAGCCGACTAGTTTGTATAGTGAGTGGTCTTTCAGGTCAGATGGTGAGAATACGGTCCTGCCGAACTCTAAAAACCTGATTCGGTCCCCAGCGGGGCCGGCACAAACTATATGCTCTGCTGTTTCATCGTTAATGAGGTAGTCGGATAGTCAAGGTGCAAGATTCCCACATTGATACCCGCAACAACCTTTCCATATTAGGGTTTTTGCACATCAGCTACAGCTGACGATGGCTTAGATTCACCCATGCGGGGCTTTTTCGCCTCTGGTTTTGGTGAATCATCACTTGAGCGCAAACGTTTGCTAACTTGCTCATAGGGGCTTTGTTTCTCCACCTAAGACAGATTCTGCGTACGCCACTCAAGAATACTGTGCAAGACGGTTTCATAAGGTACCCCGCTCTTGAGGAGACAACTCAGTCGTTTCCTGGCTGCACCACCAAACCTTTTTTTTAGGTTCAGTTATTGGATCAGAATTTGGAGAGTTGAGAGGCTCTCACTCCTGATCTGAATTTACAGGGAGGTCAGTTGGAGTCGTGAGCTCGACATTCACCTCCTCTATAGACTCAGCGTCAGAAACAATTTTTAAGTTTACTCTGTCCATAAAAGTCCCACGAGTAGCTAGGAAAAGAAGGTTAATCACGGCCCCGCATTACCGTGACAAGGCGATGCTACGACGAGAGGGTGCCTGGTATCTCGAAAGTTCCGTAGTGACAGCTAATTGGTTCAGTGTCATTCATCCTCTCGGTACGGATACATATACTTTAGGATTAAGTCATTGTTGGGATGCCATTCAGTTAGAGAATAACAGAACCACAAGTGATTCTGTCATTCCAGTATCCAACAGGGCTACGTGGAAGCAGGCATCCGATGGCAGGTTTGCTCAACTCTCACTTCCCAAGCCAATGCACTCGCCAAAAACAGCATGCACAGTGGTTCAGGCAGTGAAAGATGAACAAGGACAGCCAAACCGCCGACCTTGGTGGAGACTGACCCATCACAAACTGTTTTCTGATGGCTTAAAACGTATTGGAAAGGTCAAAAAATCGAAAAGTAGGTGCTCCTCGATTTGGTCGATCGACAGAAATTGCCTTGTTTCGAGGTCTGTTTTTCTTTGCTTTTGCGCAACGAAAACGGATCATTTCTTAGATCGAATCGTCTCGTGTGATGAAAAGTGAATCCTCTACGCTCTACGACAACATGAGACGTCCAGGACAGTGGTTGGACATCCATGAGCCATCCAGGCACTTTCCAGAGGCGAAAACCCACCAAAAAAGACTATGGTTACTGTATGCTGGTAAACGGCTGGTGTGATTCACTATAACTTTCTACAACCAGGCCAAACCACACAGCAGAGTGTTATTGCGAGGAAATCAGCAGCAGCCGGCACTTGTCAACAGAAGAGGTCCGATCCTGCTCTACGACAACGCCCGTTTGCACTTTTCACAAATCACCGTTCGAAAATTAAACAAATTGAGCCTCGAAGTTCTACCTCACCTACCATAATCCCCAGACCTCCCGCCAACCGACTACCATCTTTTCAAGCATTTTGATAATTTTCTTACCGGTAGAACCTTCGCCAATCAGGAGCAGGCAAAAACGGCCTTCGTCGACTTCATCGAAATTTGAGAACCCAATTTGTATGCAGACGAAATTAATCGACTTCTGTTACATTGGCCAAAGTGCACCGGTTCAAATGGTGCTTATTTAATTCAAATAGTGCTTATTTAATTGAATAAGTATTTATTGATATATTACGGTTGGACTGTATTAACTTGCTGAATCTAGGTAGTTATAGTTTGGCTAGTTACTTCTGCAGAAAAGAGAAACTTCATGGTGGTGTCGCTATAGCAACACATACCAGTGTACAGTGTAAACCTTTGAATTTGAATAAATATTGTAAGGAGTCAATTTCAGAATTTTGCGGAATTGAAATCAGCTCATTTCATACTGCCCTTATCACAACTTATAGAGCTCCATTGAATGAAAACTTTCATGCATTTTTAGAAAATTTCTATGATCTTGTTTCCTTTCTTTCAGATAAATTCAGATATATTATTATTGTGGGTGATTTCAATATTGACATGAGTAAACAAACAAGGTTTTCCCAAGAGTGGACAGATTTGGTAGATTCTTTTGGGCTC